CTTTGTATTTTATGTAGTCACGGGTAAATCACGTCAATATTTTATATTAAATTTTTTATAAAGATGATAAGACAAAAAGCAATAATGATATAAAATGTTGACGCGGTTCAACTGTAACCGCACAAATAGGAAGGGATGAGAGTGTATGGGAACTGGGAGGGCAGAGAAGCCAAGTCTGTTTGAAAATTTTAAAGAACCCTTACAAAAAGCTTGTTTTATTAACACTCCACGTATTATTGAATACACCACATATACTTAATACATTTCACGCTTGCTTTTTCAATTAAAATTTATCTTAATACACTACACGTACTTTCTCATAGTACCCTTACACCCCACACTTTCAAAATACACCACACATTTTTTACATACATCCCACATTTCTACATGTACACCCTACATTTTCTACATACATCCCACACTTTTCTCCATAAACCCCACACTTTTCACGTCTTAGATGCAAATGCATATTTTAATTTTTACTTCTGTATAATCACAAAACAATGAAACCGGTTTTAAAAGATAGAATTTATGTAGAAAATTGATTAAAATGCTTCCATGATTCATTGGATAGAAGAATTTCAGCTCTCGAAAGTTTAAAGCCAATCGAAACTCCTTAACCTGCATAAGCATCTGAGTAGATGCTTTAAGGGTGGGAGTCGATTTCATGCCGATCATCCAGCGTATGATAATAAAATATGAAACTTTCGCATCATGTGAAGCTTTCGAAACGTCGATTTCATGTTTCGTCTAAAATAATTTGTTTTAATCAATGTGTTTTTGTAGTTTTATTGATTAGGGTTTGTTCTGCAATAGAGAGGGAAAATGATTTTAAGAGTTGAAGAAAATAAATAATCTTGTGATATATGTAAAAAATGATTTGATTTGTGGTGTATTTAATATATATTTTTTTTTTTAACTTTATGAGGTCAAAATTGTCATTACATAATAAGGTATATGTGTCATTTGATATCAAATTTTAATGTGGAGTGTATTCAACTTTATGTGAGGTGCTAATAAAAAAAATAAAAAAAACCTTTTGTAATATGAAAATGACATAATTTTTGTATTTTTATGATTTAAGAATGCGTCTGGTAGTTTAATCGGAGAACGGTTTTTGAGAATGAAACATTAAAAACTTGTTTGGTACCAATATCTAAAATCTCGAACAAAAGTATAAATTTGTGTTTAGTAGTAATGGCGGTGGTGGTAGTAAAGATGGTGGTTGAGCAGAGTGGTGCTAGTAGTAGTGATGGTTGGCAATAGTGAGGATAATGGGCTGGAGAATATAGTGATGGTGGTGGTAGTGGTGAGACGGTAAAGATGGTGATGGTGGTATTCGCAGGTGGCAGTAATGGCGTCAGAAGTGTAGATGGAGGTTGGATATGGTGGCCACGGTGATGGTACTTGGTAGTGAAAGGTGGTGGTGTCAAAGATGATCGCAATTGTGGTGATGATAGTGAGACAGTGGAGAATCTTGTAATGGCGGTGGTGGTGGTGGTGATGGTAATAGTGCATACATAATTTTATTTCTTATTATACTCTTAACTTTGTTATATAATGTTTATTTTACTTTCTATTTTGAAAATTGTTCTTTAAAAATAGAGGAAACACCAACTTGACATTCTACATGAAGAAAACTTATCCCATTTAATCCTCCAAAAAAATTTCTTATCAGAGATTGAAATTGATAAGTTATCACGAGATGAAACCTAGATGCATCAGCCATGAAGTGACAAGTATCTATCAAGACTAAATCACAATCTACCTTAATTTGGACAAAATATTTGAATCTAGTGAGTTATCAAATCCGATTCTGGACACCCAACATGACCGCAGGCATAAGGTCGGTGGCCCAGACAAAAATACAGATAAATGATGCGTCTAGAACTCGCAAGAGATTAAGGGTTAGGATCATTTGCATCATACATAGTACAATTATTGACAGCCCTCCTCCTTTATCCGGGCTTGGGACCGGCTGTGTCTAAATAGGAATCAAAACACAGGCGGAGTTATTCAACTCGTACTATATATATATTAAACACACATGACAGCAACGTGAACGACAACGGCCTTGTCCTTTCCCCAGTCTGTTTTTTTGAACTCAATTACCTTTTCGACCAATACCAAGAATATCTTAATACTTCAGAGCGCTATAAAATTAGCGTTCAGTCAATCAAATGCTAAATTGCACGGTTTATCCTTGTGGTACGTGGTCATATGTTAATGTTACTCAAACTCAGAATTGCAAGGGTAAAATAGTCATTTCAAACAATAGCGACTGCATTAACATACGACCGATACCACAAGGATAAATTTGTGCAACACAACCTTCATTGAACTACTTAGAAGCTCAAAGTGCAAATCACAACTGCTGCCGGCATTCTTTTATTAGAAGGAAAGATACAGCTTTAAGCAAAACTCATATTTCTAATTGTTCTTGTATGCCACACATATTAATTTGTTGATTAAAGACATTTTTGGTCCTGTGTTTAATTGAGAAATCAATTTCGGTTCATGTTTTACAAACATTTTAATCCGTTAACGATCTTGGTCCTTTCCGTCAAACTGGCGTTTCGGTACAATCATGCAAGAACTCAAAACTGTAACTACTCCTTTTAATTGAAAATACATGGACCAATATTTGAAAATACAATAACCCTTAAAAGCTTAAAAGCTTGTTTCACAGAAAAACAAAAACATAAAAAACCAAGATTGATAACGGATTAAAACACATGGACCAAAATGAAACATAATCACAATGCACGGACCAAAAGCGTATATAACCATAGTATACGGTTGTACACTGGTTTGGTTTGCTTAATTTTTGTTTTCGGGTACAGTGCTCATCAAGGCAAACTTGAAAGTTTCTCCATAACTATAGAGGTCATCAAGTCTTTTACCTTTTTGAATTGGTAATGGACGAGCTAATGAGACATATTTAAGATATTCCTTGGTGTATGTTTTTTGTTGATGATATAGTATTGATAAATAAATGCAGGGGGAGTAAATGCGAAACTTAATCTTTGACGAGAAGTGTTGGAATCTAAAATGCCTAAGTAGGCCAAAAAGAGTATATGGAATGAGTTCGGTGGAAATCGGTCCAAATGCGATAGGGATAAGGATTGAAGATCAAGAAGTACCAAAGAGTAAACACTTTTGGTTATCTTGGATTTATCTAGCAAAATAATGGAGAATTGGATAAAATTTTCAACCATAAAACACAAGCTCGACGGATGAAGTGGAAGAGTGCATCTAGTGTGTTGTGCGACTGTTGTATGCCACTAAAACTCTAGGTAAAATTTTATAGAATGACAATAAGGCTAGCAATGTTTTATGACACATAATATTGGGCAGGCAAGCATCAACACCTACAAAAACTGAGTGTTGCGGAGATAAAATTGCTTCATTGGATATGTGGGCAAGCGAGAAAGGACAGGATTACAAACAAGGACAATCGAGGTAAAGGAGTGGTCGCAATTGAAGATAGGTTTGGACATGTGAAGCGAAAACCCACAGATACTCTGGTTAGAAATGCTATTATGGGATAGATGCTCAGGGCGAAAGCGGAAGAAGAGTACTTAGGAAGACTTAGAAAGAAACTTTTAAAAAAGATATAAAGTACTTGAAGCTAACGGAAGAATTGGAGCAAAACCGAGCTCAATGGCATTCTAGAATTCATACAACTGATCCTTTAGTGGAATAAGGCTATGTTATTGTTGTCGTTGGTAAAGTACATTTTACATCATCAAGGTTTGGAGTCGGTTTCAAAATAGGCCACAAGATTTCAATTTTTTTTGTATTGCAGCCTGACGTTTTGACATCCAACCAATTTATACCTTTCATTAGGTTGACCGCTATTAACTAATGACGTGAAATGCGAGACCCACCCCCAAAATGTCCTCTCGGTATTTTTTGTAGCATGGTTGGTGAGTTGGAGGGCTAGTCCAGCTCTGACACGAGTAGTTAATAGTTTACCACACAATCAAGTTAACAAAAAGTATAAAATGTACACATGTCAAAAGTCCGCGCGCAATGTGAAAAAATTGAAACTCATTCCGATTTAAAACTGACCCCAAACCTCGATGGTGTAAACTGTACTTGGCCTTCTATTTTTTTATAGGCTAGCTCAAATTTTAAGCCAAGGAGAATTGTACTGGTGTTGAAACAAACGTACAACACATTAAAGAGAGACATACCATACAAGAGGGCACAAAACAAAAGACCTCCGCCCAGCTGCGAAAGTTTGATAATCCTAATATTCCTGCAACCATAGAAAAAATAACAACAAATGAAAGCAAAAATATAAAATTAAAAGTAAATAAAATAAATAAAAAGGATGGACAATTCACACATAATTTATGCGTTTGCCAATGAAACTATTCGTAAAAAAAAAAAACCAAAAATTGCAAACCAATTAGCCAGAGTATCACGTATTATTCAGGCTTTTGCTAAATATTATTTAAGGATTCCCGTTAAATGGTTGTAAGTTTGAGTTCTTACTGTCCCACACTTTGCATCTAAAAATTACCAAGCAACCGTCACCGTTCTTATGGTAACGTTATCGGCAACATTCCCACGCTCATAGAACAACTTCTCCACTCCAGTACACAAAATAATGCAGGATCCTAGAAGTCACACATCATGCAAACATTCTTCCTAGTTTTGTTACCCGGAATCAAATTGACGGGGTTCACTTAGTAGCAAGGTGATTCGGCAAAGCAAAACCTTCACAAAGATCAAAATTAATAGGAAGATGGTTGATCAAGATGCATGTCTAACAACTTGTCCATGCCACAAGAGGTACTCCTAGTCCAACTAAGGTGATACTAGATAAATAGGAAGCAAACGACGGATACGGCTTATCCTAATAAACATTATTCTCCCGGTACTCACACGCATATCATAGATCTAAGCAACACACATTTCTTCAATGCAAAGGTAGTTGAATTTTACCATTAACTATAAACTATCAACATGCGCATTCAAGCCAATATATTGACTAAATTTCTTATCATTAAATAAACTTCAATAATGCATGTTTATACAAGATTTTATGTTCCAAAATTTGTTATGTAAGCAGTAAAACATTTAACCGATTTACAGTTTCTAAAGGGGAGAAACTCATCTGCAACACAGTGAAACCTACAAGAATGCACATGGTTCAGGTATATCTTTGACAAGCAGCCGAAATTCTCATTTGTGTGTGATGTTCACGATGGTCACATCGATGTCAACCGCGGTTCATAACCTGAAAGAGTATCAAACTTGCATCAATTCCCGTTACGCATGCTTCTTCAGTTAAAGTAGACTTGTACAAGTCACACTGCAAAACCCAATTTCTTGTTTTTCTTTTGGCACGAAAATGATTATCAAAATATTTAAATCAATGGATACCGTCCATCGAAAACTTATAATGCTAGTGGCACTGTTCATCTTTACTTGAATAAGTTTGTGATTCATAAACATACAATTGATGCTAAACCCAGCCAAAGGGCTCTGCTGTGACTCATCTGTCTTCTTATCTACAGCATCCCGCGTATGCTCATCCAGCATGCCAAGGGGAATGTTTTGTATCATGAAAGAACCATCCCAGCTCCTTCACAAGATTGCATAATTTTTAAAAACCACATTCAAACATTAAACCAATATAATTACATGCCGTATGCAGGCTGCCAACAAATATGACATTTGAAAAAAAACAATCTCTCAAGCATCCTGATCCCTTTTAAGGACCATATGTGGTTATTGAATAATCCTCAAGTAATAATGCCCCAAATGTATAATAAAATCCAAACAAGGGGGCAAAGTAAAAGGAATCTTTGCGATCATCAGGCCTTAGAAGATGCATTTACAAAAAACATAAGAGCAAGAAACTGAAATTTAGTGCAACAGCAATTTGGACAAGAGCTGATATGAAGTACAAGAAACTGACGATTAAGAACAAAACATACCTCTGAGAAAGTATACTGCAATGCCAACAACATGCAAGGCATAACTAAATGCGTCGCCTGCAAAAAAACATTGAGTGATAATTTAGCATGAACAGAATCCAATTACAAAACTCCATTGAAGGAAGAATTGTGTAAATTACTTACCAGAGAACTCAAATCACTTCCTAATTCAAAGATCCACGACACCTGAATAAAAGATATGATTCTTAGTAGTATACATAACCATAGGTTATTCTCCAAACCGTTTAGATACAAACTTTATGAACATACAATGAAACAATAATATTTTTCTTGGTAGAAACACAAAGAAGATGAAAAAGACCACAAAATCAAAGAACATGTATTCTTGTAAAAACAAATCTTACTTTTTCGAACCACAGTTGCAAGGAATCTTCTTCTCCTCCAAAGGAAACTTATAATTGTAAGTAATTTCTTCACCAACAGCTATATGCCGTTTTGCGTAAATGAAGATTCGTTTGTGACCATCAACACTGATAACTTTGGTGTAGCAGTTAGGCTGCAAAACAATTTTTGAGGAACAATGACTTCATATCACGAGACCCAAAATCAAAACAACTGATACCACATATTTGCATTATAATCTGAAGAAGCTACCTCACAAGAATGGTTTATAAATCTAGCAACTCCTCCACGTTTTGTAGCATCAACCTACACATATTTCAGAAAGAAAATATTAGCCAATCGGTGATAGCTACTTTGCTCCAGTGGTGCACAGCTAACTTTATGAATGGAACAGGAGAAACTAGAGTAGAAGATTAATCCATGCACTGGACAACAACATGCAACAAATATAAGCAGCAAATGAAGAAGCTAGCAGAATGCCCCATTTCTTGAAGCCAATTCATCTATAATAATTGATCTTAAAATTTTTCTTATGAGCTATAAAGCCGTAAAAAAATGCCAAGTTCCATGCTATAGGAAATGAAATCGACGAAGCCAAAAGTTCCCTGACCAGGTCCCAGCGTACAAAGTATTAAATAAGAGAAATGCTTCAGGGAAATTGCTTCTATGCAAATATTACACACTCCCAAAAGATGTGTTATTCTCATTAGGTCACAGATCATGTGGTCATCAAATTCAATATATTCATAGAAAAATAATGTTCCATGCTATATGCTACAAGTAGCTCAATTATGGACCTGAATTAAAAGAAAACAAGAAAAGAAAATCATTAAAACCAAATTCTTAGTGTTGATTCACTAACCACATAACCATCATCAAGCCTAAAAAGATAACTGCTGCCAATTCCTATCTTCTCGTAATGACGCTCACGGATATCAGATATCTGCAAAGTCACAAACTAAAGTAATTAATGTACATATAAAAGGGACACCCCATCCTCAACTGGAAAAGGTAAAAAAGAAGGAAAACACACACACACACAACTAACCAAACATTCTATTGATGAAACAATTATAGTCCAGTAAATATACCCTGGGACGAATCAGTTCTCCAACATATTCAATAACAAAGTCTTCTGCCTCAATTGGCTCCAATGCAACAAGACCCCAATCATGTATCTTGCTTTTTTGGAATTGTAGAAGCTTTTTCCTCGCCTAACAGTACCATGTAATAGTTTATCAGAATTATGTTCACAAAGGCATATATATGTTATCCACGAAATGATTTCATTCAGAAATCACCTTTAATTGAGTAGCTTTCAGAAGGTCAGCCCCATCAGCAGCAGCAGCAAGATTGCGCATCTTCACCCTATTTGTTCTTGCAGAAAGACCCTTGCCATTTGACCACTGTGATGTATTAATTTCAGAACGTTGATACTCAGCATTAACATATTTAATTCCCCTAACACGGGCTCTTTCAGCAGGACTTGCGTTTTGTGACCATCTATGCCATTCCCAGCCATTAATGGACGCCCGGGCGCATCCAGAAGATTTAGGGCAAGGATTTAGTTTCTTGGATTTACTGGACTGTATATTTCTAGCTGCAACTGGCTTACATGCCGCTTTCTTGGGAGCACCATTGGCTACTTTCAAGATCTTTTCGGGACTTGACAAATCATCCATTGGGCGATACCTTTTCAGCTTTGATGGTTTAGTTACTGTATGCAAAACCACAAATACAGAGAAAGAATAACATAGCAAAGAGTTAAATTAATAATATTATATACAAATAAATAAAAATTGCATGTGCGAATGAGTGAAAGGACACTTACAAGGCTCTCCTATAAGCCTAACATCATGACCATTGCTATTCACAACTTTCTCAACATTATTGTGGTCCCCTACGTGAGCTGAAACCATCTTTTTACTAGGTTTAGGAGTGCATTCCATGGGCTCGCTACCTGGATAAAACAGTTCATATCCCTAATTATCAGAGAAATTCCATTCTGAGCGATAAACCGACAGGAAGCATATGATATTGAAACAAAAAAGAAAAAGAAAAGGAAACTATATCCTGTTCAACAAACTAGAAACGCCAATGAACTCGCAACACAAATATACATGTGAGGGAAACGGCATACTTTTCACTGCATGGGAAACCTTCAATAGTTTGCTGCTACTAGAATTCTTAGCAATGGCTTGCAAAGATGTGGCGCCAACAGACGATTCAGTTTGGGGTTTGCTTTGGCTTCTCTTCTTAGGAATCACAGGAGCAATTTTTAGTTCTGCTTTCTCAGGCATACCTCCAACTTGCAAAGACATGGTGCCACTATACAATTCGGTTTGGGATTTACTTTGTCTTCGCTTCTTAGGAATCACAGTAGAAAATTTTAGTTCTGTTTTCTCAGGCACATCTCCAGCTTGCAAATATGTGGATCCAACATGTGATTCAGTTTGGGATTTGCATTGTCTTCTCTTCTTAGGAATCACAGTAGCAATTTTTAGCTCTGATTTCTCAGGCACATCTCCAGTAACATGTAATTTCTTTGACTTTTCCACTATTTCATTCTGTAACCCAGTATCACCTAAAGTTACATGCGGTGAAGACCCTGACTTTTTCAGCAACAACTTCTTGCGGTGATACGTATATTTACCAATCACTGGAGAAAGTCCTGCGGTGCCAGAATTGTGACAATGCTTTGATTCTTTCTCATGTTTTTCGACATGGTCTTTATTCCTAGTAAATGCTTTTTCCTGCACCAAAAGAAATAGTAAATATTAACTAAAATGATAGGGAATTCTAGTTATAATAATTCACAGAAAGAGATGAGTGCCGAAGGCACCAGCAGTATACCTTATAAGCATGGGTCTTCTTTGAAGTGCGCCATGATGCAAGAAACTGTTGAAGAGAACAGTCAAAAAACAATGATTTCCAATCTCTAATGACATAATCATGCAGTTTTTTCCGGCACATTGCTGTGGCAGTATATTCTCCAATCTTAGGAATACATTCATCTGACTTTGAAGGTCGGAATTTGCAAGTGCGTGATGGCACAACAGCTTTAGCTTTGTCTACAAGTCCAGGGGGCAATGGCTCATTTATTTCTTGGTCAACAGACATATCATCTATATGAGAACATAATTCCTTAAAAGCATTTTCCAATAAATTGGACATCTGAATTTCAGGTACAGAATGATCAACAGGCTGTGCTACTTGCGATGGAGATTGGGGGGATACATCAGATGGATTCATCTCTGTAGATTTTGTCCTTGAAATCCTCAATTCATCACATGAGTCTGAAGATCCACCAAAGCTATTGCTGGGACACTGAGAAGAGCCGACATTCTCCTGCAGCAACAATTATGTTACTCTAACATACTGAAATGATCAAAAATTGAACATATACAAGCTAGTACAGATATCACTAAAATGTTACAGTAAAACAGAAGGGGGAGGGAAAATTGATTGAATCTCTAGATCACCTTCATTAAATTTTCTTGTTTAGACGAAGTAACTAATTTCCCGACCTCCTCATCAACAAAAGATCCAACAAATTCAGTCAAAGCATTCTTTGCAGACAACTGGAGCTCGTTTTCTACACATTCTACAATGCAGTTCATGTCTTCATATGAGGGACTTATCTGTTTAGATGAATTTCCTCCATTAAGATCCAATGAAGAGATAATTGATGGATGTGCATGATCAACTAATTCCTTTGCCATGACTTCAAAACCAGGTGGGTAATCACCATCATAAGCATCAGATTCATGCCCGGGTAGTAACTGCATGACCAAATAGGACATTAACAAACATTAAATAACTTATTAAATGAAAAAAACTAAAGCATGCAAAAGACCTACAGCTTCATGAGGTAACTTATCAATCTTCTCAGGATCTTCACTAGAAGGTATCCTCCACACTGGAGAACCAGACCAAAGTTTCCTCCTCCTCCAAGATGAGGAGTACTCTGCCACTGAATCATAGAAAACAGCATTCCACATGACTTGCATGCAATAATCAAAAAGCATTCTACAAACAACTGTATACGACTCCCAAAAGTTTTCAATGCTTCCAACAGATTTCATGCTTAATGGAGGTTTGCTGCAATCTTGATTGATACATGTCTCATCCGCAACAGAGTCGGAAGCTGCTGCCTCACACAAAACAGCAGCACAGTTCTTCATATCTCCAGCAATCTCAGACTGTTGACACAAAAAAATTATTATCTCATAAAGCAAAGAAAAAGTGTTTGGAGTACTTTTGGCATGTCAAAAGCACTTTTAGATAACCAAAACTGTTTTTTGTAGTGTTTGGTTGAAATAAACAAAAGGTGATATTAGGATCAAAGAAGCAGTTTTAGTTCCCTTCCACTTTGATTTTTAATGAAATATTTTATGAGCCACTAAAGCACTACCAAACAGATCAAATCCACTCAGACAACATGTAACAGGCTTTAAAGTAAGAGAATTAGTGGTCTGCTTTTGGATTTGTATGCATTACCGTTTTGCTATACGAGGAACAAGCCTTCACGGCCTGATTAACCCTTTGAGTTTTTTTTGTGGTAAAAAACTCATTAATGACATTGCTGATAATCTCATCTAAGACAACCCTGCGAGCTGCCTTCAAAATTCCATGGTGCAGTTGGCTAGAAACTGCCTCAGAAATTTCAGATATAAAGCTTACAGAAGACCCAGTGCCATTACTTTTGGCATCAGAGTTGGCGACAGTTTCAGTTCCAGGTTTCCATGCATTTGCAACAGATAGTAGGGTGAAGGGCGCACACTTATTCTCAACATGATAAATCTGCGAAAAACAAGTTGACACCAGAGTCAGAAGCATCATAAAAAATTTCAACAGCAGGCTCAAAGAAAATCCATGCTATATTAAATATAGAAGACCTAGCAAATTCTGTATACTCCATGATTCTAGACACATAAACTTCCATCACTTCATAAAGTAATTGGCAAACACCTTGCACTGCAGCGGGCCCAAATCTGTCCCAGAAGTAGCAAGAGAGAGAAACACCACACACGTTAAGCCCTTTTGTTGAAAGTGGGTTTTACAGACGATGAAACAGTTCGAGGACATCTACCTCTCACAATATAAAGGCAATTAACACTGAACATAAGAAATCAAGTATGCACCAGAGACATCCGTTCACTTTTCACCCTCAAAGCTTCTTTCTAACTTATAGAATAGAAGCTTGAATCGACATCATATGCAGCTATTAACTTTCTGAAATGTCTGTTCTTTTCAGTTTTTCTTATTCGATAAGGCTTCGTAGGCTCCTGAATTGATTGTTCTAAGTTCTAAATAAACCAGCATAATAATGGAAAACCATCCAGTCATGATGTTGAAACAGTAGCATTTGTTGTAAACCCGACCTCACCAAAATTCACCAAGTTCAATTCTTGGACAAATGTGACATTCTACGACTAAAATGCCAATTCGATTTTTGATAACGAACATACACATCACACCATCATCACATTAGGGGCTCGAATCTTACCATGACTGAATCCTGAAGATATCCATATCGATACCACGAGTATAATTCATAAAGAGTATGCGGCCCGCGTTTGTGCCCTTCACCATCCACATACAACCAACAAGACTCTTCATTTGGCTGCATACATACAGAGCAACAAAGGGAAAAAAGAAACTAATAAGACATTGATCAAAAGAACACATACGCTCAACTTTTCGACCCGAACAAAAGAACCAACTATAAGTACCAGTGACATAGGCTGATTGGAAATGGCATGGAAAGTAGAATTGAACTGGGAACCGGGATAAACAACAGGAGCAGGTGAAGGTGTCGGTCCAGGAGCAGGTGTGTCGCGGATAGGCAAATCGCCGCTGTGAGAAGATGCAAAAGAATCGGTGGGTGTGGGTGTGGGTGTGGATGCGGCGGTTGAGATGCCAATAGAGAGATACGCGAACCCAGTGGTGACATGATCAGGAAACTGCTTGAAGTACTTCAATGGAACCGGGGCGATCAAGGTGCCATTGACCAGAGGGTACACAGGAAGCTCATCGGGGAGGAACCCAGAGGATAAACCCTCATACAATTGCTCTTGAATGTACGGACCGCACATTTGTCCGACTTCATTGACGTACATCCATCCGCTCGCAACGAAAGGTTGAGGCATATATACCAAACATCAAAGTCCCCCAGCAGCAAACACATACAATCAGAAGAACGACTGCAATCTGAACAGATGAGGAGGGAGAGGGGGAGAGGGGGAGAGGGAGAGAGAGAGGGGGACACAGGCGGCACGGCGTGAGGGAGAGGAAATTAGGGATCGAGACTTTCTGAAGGGAATTCGATTTTACGGTACCAAAGAGGAAAAATAAGGCTGGCGAAAAAATAAAAAATTGTATTTGACGAACTGGTCTGGGTAGTATTTGCCCCTTTAAATTCGTCTTGGGCCGTGCGGGCAGGGCCGAAATATACTTTAACATAAAATTGAAGAATGAGATCAGTTACACCTAGTAAACGAGACTGTATAATCATGGAGATTGAATTTTTTACGAATGTCCTTAACTTGAAGATCTCTGGTCCTATTTATAGGCAATTAAGAAGGAGTAACCTCGATCATATCACTAAGTGGAAGTAGGGGTAGATCAGTCATTTGACGTTGATAATAACTGCAGTTCGTTGCTGGTGCCCTTATGCTGAGATTTACTGGGAATCACACGATTATTGTGATAACGTTAGCTTGTCTGGTGATGCATCATTTAAGGAGGTGAGAGATTTCGGGGTCTAGTTGCCCACACTTTAGGGAGGATCGAGTATGAATTCTTGGGTGTAGCAGGACATGGACATCCCGAACCCTAGAAGACTATCCTAAGTTGGTGAGCCAGTGTCGCACACCTTTCATAAATAAAATTAGATTAACCCCATAGCAGGCCTTATTACTTTAGTCTAAAGAAGGCTTTTCAATTGCACTGTACAAATGAATAGTTTTTTTATCCGAATTTCACTCTATTTACGGACATGCCATTGCTCTAAGGATTTTGCCTGGGTTTTTTTTTTCAGGTTTAATTGTATGGGCTTTGTGGGTTTGGGCTATCACTGGGTTGGTGGGTTTTGTTTGTGGTTGGGTTTTTCAGATGGATGACCGACATGGGCAGGCCTAGCCTGCAACGATGCCAGTAAGAAGAGAGGGGAGGTGTCGTGTGATGCGAGAGAGAAGAGAGAGAAGAGTCGTCGGATGGCAGAGAGAAGAGGAGGGGTCGTCAGATGGCAGAGAGAAGAGAGAAGAGGACTCCTGGAAGGAAAAATTGGAGGAGAAAGGGAGAGGTAGGATGAGCAAAGCAATAGGTACGGCTGCCCAAAATTTGGGTTTTGTTTTTCTCAGTGAGGTCTGCTAAGAGAGGCGGTGAGGCATGAAGGGACGCCTAAACCTAGGGTTGGTTTTAGAGATTTGGTTCCAGCTGGAAGCTATCTCTGCAAGCATTGATGAAGATCTCTCCCAGCTGGTAGCTTGAAATCTTTTCAAAGCTGAGTGTCCCTTTTGAACCGATTTTTCCCTTATTTCACTGTTTCTGGTTTGAACCTGCTTACAAACCTGTTTTTTTTTTCCTGCTTTGTTTTCTGTCTGGTTCTGCTTCTGGTTCAGTTATTCAACTTTTAGTTAGGAGTGAAAGATTTGTTTTTAAATTATTAAATTGGAACAAAAACAGATATTTTGTGCTGCCTTCTTCACTGTCTGATAATACCACTTCATCTTCATTTCTCTTTTTCTTCCTGTTGTGTTGGTCTTTCAGTGTCATAGCTTCTCTGTAGAAATCAAACTGTATGCATTTTACCCCTTTTTTTTCATTACCCTATTATTTGTTGTTGTCCTCACCCTGTGAATCAAATGCTGAGTTTTTTTTTTATCCTTCTAAAATAAATTATGCATCTGGTTTTTGTTCATTCACATATGATGCACCTTTTTTATGGCTGTTGTTGTTAGAAATAGATTTAATTTTTTATGCCTTTGAACAAACCCTGTGAATCAAATGCTCAGTTTTTTTATGTTTTTTCTTCTGTTTGTTGTTGTTATTGTTGGTTTGTTCAAAATACTATGTTGTTAGAAATAGATTTAATTTTTTATCGTTGTTATTTTCTGAGGATCATTCATGGTCACCATTGAAAAGAAGTGTGATTTGTTCTTGGCCATCATATTTCAAATCAAAATTGGTTCTGTCATGAATAATTCAAATGATCAGTTCTTTTATTTCAGAGCAATATTATTTCTTTATCGGTTTATGTAGATCAGGTAGCGTTCGATAGTTGATGGATTGATGCCTAGAATCTTACTACTAATTTTGGGCTACAGTCTTGACCATTATTTACAGCAGAGATGTTGTTTTGAGATTAAGAGACCTTAGGAAACTATCATACAAGACTATACTTACAATTGAATGTCGTTTTGGAGTTCATAAGAGGAAAGGAAGTGAATATCTTCTTTTTCATTAAAAACAACAAATATATTGATCTTCAAAACCAGGGTTTAGGGTTGACTATCGTTCGATGTATAGAATTTTACCCCTTTGATTACTTTTTAAATATTTCAATCCTCTTTCAGAATACTAATCCCTAAACTTATTAAATTTATTGACCAAGTCATTTTTCTTTCAATCCCAAAGTTCGTATTTCAGGTACTTGGATCGTTGGACAGAGCACTTCGCCCTTTGGCTTTTGAGGTATATTTATTTGCGGTTGTTAGGGTGGAATGTCCAATCGTTATGTTTTAAGTTGAGCATAGTTCTTTAATAAAAACAACCAAATGTATTGACTTTTGCATGTGTTTTGCGTGAGAACACCAAGTTGTGATGTGTTTGCATAATGGTTTGAATCTGTGCTTAGGTTGGTTTGAAACTCAGGTTGGGTTATGGTTTTGTTCAATTTTAATTTCATTCTCTGGTTTTAGTTTCTAATGAATGAAGAGAATTGTTTTCAATGACTACTAGAATGGCATCCTGTATAGCTGCTATTGCATTGTGATGCAAAACTTCACGCTTATTGGTGGTTAATTGTAGATATATGTGACCATTGTCTTTTCAATTGATAAAAAATCTTCTGTAACTTCTGAAAATTCATGGTCACCATTGAAAAAAAGTGTGATTTGTTCTTGGCCATCATATTTCAAATCAAAATTGGTTCTGTCATGAATAATTCAAATGATCAGTTCTTTTATTTCAGAGCAATATTTTTTCTTTATTGGTTTATGTGATGGATTGATAGGCGGCGTTCGATAGTTGATGGATTGATGCCTAGAATCCTATTACTAATTTTGGTTGTCTCTGTCACCTATGATTGTCCAAAGGTCCGATGGTACTTTCTTTTTATTTGGGTTTAAATAATGTCTCTGCAATTTTGTTATTTTTTGGAAATTTCTTGCTGTTTCTGTGATTCTGATTTAACCAACTGTTCTTAATTCTTTATCAAATGTTGTTAGGCATCTTATATGTTTTTTGTTGGTTGCTTGCTTTCTTTATTGCGTTCTCACTTTTCTAAATCATTCTTCGAAGGTCAGTTACTTTGGCTGGTTGGTGTTTTCGTTAGGTTTTTCTGGTAGTCAACTCTTTCATCCTCCCCGAGATGCTTTAATATGTGCTGTTAATAATTGCAATCTTATTCAATGTTTAATTTAATTTACTTCTTAAATTTCATTATTGTAGATTGATGGAGCTTATGCCAATTCATTTGCTAAAGACGTACCAACCAGGAAACAAATTGCAAATTAGGGTATGCAGGATGTGGATAACAAATAGCATAGGAGATGTTCCTCAACCTACAAGTTTTGATGTTGTCTTCGTTGATAAACAAGTAAGATTTTTATGCCTTTTTGCTTATCATCAAATGCTGATTTTTTTTTATCGCAGTACGCAGACGATTAGTTGAACACACTTATATCATCAGACCTATACTAAAGTTTGTAAACTAAATTATCTATGAATTTCACTACCCAATTATACATCATTTAAAATAATTGATATTTGCCTCATAAATTGTTCTGCTATCTACGATATTAGGCCTCAACATTTTATGACATATCTAACAAGTTCATGCAGGTCGACAACAGATTTTCTTTTCCTTACTTTATTTTCTTTGTTATTATATCTATACAAATGAAAACAAATTTGTGCTTTTACAACGCTACTTCGATTCCCGGCAATTTTAACTTTTAAAACAATGTTCACTATTATCTTCCATATGATATTACATAATGTCTCTATAGCCACAACTATGCTACACTAACTGGTTACATGCTTCCTGCACCATCAACATTAAATGTTCTCCCACTCATTTAGTATTCTGCCCTTTTTTTTTTTTTTTTCCTAAAAGGGGGATGCGGTTCATGCAGGTCGACAACAGATTTTCTTTTCCTTACTTTATTTTCTTTGTTATTATATCTGTACAAATGAAAACAAATTTGTGCTTTTACAACGTTGCTTCGATTCCCGGCAATTTTAACTTTTAAAACAATGTTCACTATTATCTTCCATATGATATTACATAATGTCTCTATAGCCACAACTATGCTACACTAACTGCTTACATGCTTCCTACACCATCAACATTAAATGTTCTCCCACTCATTTAGTATTCTGGCCCTTTTTTTTTTCCCTAAAAGGGGGATGCGGTTCATGCAACCATCAACGCTCGAGACATCCAGTTTTTTAAGGAGCACCTCAAGGTTGGTGAAGCCTACGAAATCAACAAATTTCGTGTCATTCACAACAGGACATCAAGCAAGATTATCCCTCATGCCGCCATCCTTGAATTGAATAGGAAAACCATTATTGTTCCTGTTAACAAAACAAGCCAGGATATTCCAATGCAGTGGTTCAATTTCATCGAGTTTGAGCAGCTTCACAACAAAATTGATAGAGATGTTGAGCTTACAGGTAACCAAGTTAGTTTTAAACGTTGCTCCAAAATCTAAAACAATCAATCTTTTTTTCTTGGCTACAATCCACACTCACTCTCGATGCTAAATATCACATGTAGATGTATTTGGTTGCTTGACGGCTGTGCAGCCAACTGAAGAGATCACCATCCAACGCACAAGAATTGTAAAGAAGAGAAATCTTAATCTGTAAAATATCAGGTTACATCTTTGTACATTAAATTCTAAATACAATTTACACCTTTGATACCATACTCATGGAGTATTAAAAATAATCACCTTTTAAATTCCTTACAGGGGTGAAACAGTGAGAGTCACCTTATGGGGAGAGACTGCCACAACTTTTGATGACAGCGAAATACAAACATTGTTGCCACCTGTATTTATTGCTTTGACAAGCCTCAAAGTAAAACTATACCAAAGTGATAACCCGAAATGCCTTATCTAGCTCCTAAAAGTTT